TTTGTCCGTCGCAATGCTTTAAATTTTTCCGACCCTTACACGTTAAAATTACTGTATACATGCTGTGTTCGGTCCATTTTGGAGTATGCAGTGTTCATCTGGAGACTATATTGCATATCATCAATTAATAGGGTCGAGCGTGTCCAAAAGATTTTTTAAATTTGCTCTAAGTTTGTTGACCCAATACCACCGTATACTTCCCGTTTATTGCTTTTACATCTTAAACTACTGGAAAATCGTCGGTCCGTTCTCTGCCTTTCATTTGTTTTTAATATTATTAATGGAGGTATTGACTGTCCCTATTTATTAGGGAAAACTAATTTCAATGCTCCCCAACGTTGCCTCAGATCTATTTCCCCATTTTATTATATAAAGGAAAGTACTAACTTTACTGAATATGCTCCTCTCAAGCGTGTAATGCGAGAGTTTAACTCGATTTCCGAAAAAGCTCTTCTTGATTTTTCTCATTCTAGGATATCCTTCATTAATACCCTAAATTCTGTTTTTTAGTTTAAGTTGATTATTTATGTACTTTTAATTGAATTATTTTAGAAAGCCATTTAGCATCCTAATTTTCCATTAGTCTGTAAGAACTAATGTTCATAGACTTAACTAAATAAATAAATAAATAAATAAAATTTTCCGTTAAACTCTTTATAAAAAATGTTCCTTCCGCTCTGCCGTTCTTCCCGTTAAATTGGTTATCTGATAGACCATAATCAGAAATAATGATACAGCCATTTATTTTCTTTATGTTGTAATACCTCATGTAAAAGGTGATCCATTCTAAGTTACCTCCTTTTTACAGAAAAAACGCAGAAACTGCGAATTAAAAGGCGGAATTTTTATTATCAATATTCTTGAAAATTATCGCTATCAAATGCTGGCTACGGTCAGATCGTCCAATTAATCCGATTTTCTATAACTCTTTCGAGCATTTTGACAGGTAACTGCGTTGCACCGGAGCGTTAATACCTTGCGTAAATACAAAAGATTCTTAAAAAAAAACTTGATTTGGATCTGTCCGTGTATAATACACATTTATGCTATATAGTTACCCAACCTTAACTTATATTTCTTTCGTGAACTAAAAACCACTTTCGTGCACAAATGTATCTCATTAAATGAAAAGGTTGTTCATACAACCAGTTGACTCCAATCATTCACTTTGTATGCCCCATTTTATATCGATACGAGTATAGTGGTTCGATTTCAGCAGTTCCGTAAAATTTGCAGCTTCTTAGAAATAAAGTGATGACGAGTATAGAGATAGGCTCAACAATTAATTCCAACATCTCCTTCTGCTTCTTAGTTAGACTCCCTTTGAAATTAAATAATTTCTTCAAGTTTCTAAACGGTTTCTTAAAGATTGGATTTGGATGGATAGTTCCGTGCTTTCTCATTTTAATTCAAATCAAAAGTTATACATACACATTTAGTTAAAAAGTAGGAGATGAAATTGAAAGATCTCAACACTGGCTACCCTAACATTCCGACATGCCTGGGGTAAAGGCAAAAGTATCTCGGATCCTTAGATACCGAGGTGAAATAGGGAAAGTAGAAATCTATATTGCAAGCACCTGAGCGGATTTGTGATAGGTTCAGGGCGTTTTTGCTAATAGCTGATGTCCAACTACGAATCTTTTTGAGTGACTTCTGATAGGGCTTTACATAACGGTCTAAACTGAGTAATCAGCCCTCTAACCTTACTTAAACAAGCCAAAGTAGTTTTCCGTAATTATCTCAGAATGAATCAGCTATATGCTAAAGTAAACAAGTAAAATAAAGCTTTAATAATGGTTTACATATCGATGATACCGGAATTATGGAAAGATCGAACGAAATAATTCGAAGTGAAGAGTTGTAGTTGATTTTATAAAGAGGCACATTATTCAGCCACTTGACAAAAAAATTCTTAACTTTAACACTAACTTGCTATGAAATAAACTAAGAACGATATTCCGTAATTTTATAAAAATACTGATGGGCAATACACCCATTAATTTATATCCCACAATATTATTCGATTACTTTTGTATATACTACATATGTATATGTAAGTACACTCACTCACTACACATCTGGGCTTAATTCATTAAAAATTATTTTTCTTTTCATTACATGCGCCACACATACATATGCATAATTATGCAAACCGTTCGCAACTAATCTGCGCACAACTAATGAACACCAACAGTTTTTGGACTTGTCGCGCAACCAATTGTACGGCATCAACGAGGACACAGTGGTGCGCATCCAGCACATACGCAATGTGCGGCTGGACAACAATCCGCTGATATGCGACGAGTGTCACATGGGAAAATTAATAAATGTCGTGCAACATGTGAGTACCGCAGACAATTTGACCTCAAAAAGCAAACGCAAAAAAGCGGCAATGCTGGAATAGCAACAACAATTGCCGCAGACGCGATGTTCGCGCTGCTGCGACTTTTCGAATTGCACTTATTGTTACTTTTTCTGCTTTGCTTTCGATAAATTTACCCGCAATTTCGTTTGCATTTGTATGCAAATACTTGCAAATGCGAAATCGTGCGCTAGAAGAAATATGGTGCACTTGTTTTTGCATTTGTTGCAATCACAACTGTGATTTGTGGCATATTCCTATTTTAGTTCCGAATTTATGCGCTTGTTTTTTACGGAACATCGCTGCATTCGCATATATTTATGTATTTACTAATATTTCGCCACAGCTTCAGTGGAAGTGGGAAACTTATCCGATTTGCTTTTTGCCGAAACCGTTGCGCGGCTCTGAAATCACTGATTTGGACATATCGAAGCTGCATGATTGCTTGGACTACATAACCGATGAGGAGCAGAATGCAGCCAGTACATCGCACAATTTTCTTGAACGAGGTAAGCATAAGTATACGCGTGTTTGCGAAAGTAATGATTACAATATATCATACAATGATTACTTCAATAAAGAAGAAGATACAATGATTACAAAACGAATTAGGTTATGCCATTATTATGATATATCTTGGGAATGATTACAATATGTTAATGAAAAACACACATGAGATCTTAATAATTTTGGATACATCGCAGTAACTACAAAAAATTTGGCAAGAAAATATATGAATATTTTTTTCTTTAATGTTAAAGTTCATTTACGAAAAATCATGTGGAATAGCACTATTCATTACTTTGCTCATCTGAAGCTATACCATTTCCCAAACGTTCTAACATTTTGTGGATGCCGTGCGAAAATAACTCCGCTGGATTGACGGCCAAGAATAGATTAAGCCAATTGTTAAGGCACTATTTTGATAAGAACCATTTTTAGTGACGGAGTTCTGCTACCACAGATCAGATGGTAATCTGAAGAGGCTTAAAAACAGCAAGACACCAGGGGTCATGAATTATTGACTGAGCTGTCGGCGAGAAGTTGCTAAGTATGATTTGATTAATATATGCCCAATTACTGAAATTTGAGTTTAGTATGTCCTATCCTCAAGAAGAGTTATTCTGCAATATGCGCTAGTTATCGCTTGATCAGCTTTATTAACATTGCATATAAGGTTCGTTCGACAGTAGTTTGTGGAAGATTCAACCCCTTGTAAATAAACTGATTTGATGTTATCAGTTCGGCTTTAGAATAGCAAGTCCACCTTAAACCAGATTTTCACAATACGTCAAGTCATGGAAACGACTCTTGACAAATATATCGACACCCAACGCTTTTTAGTCGATTTCAAAGCCGCTTTCGTCAGCACTGACAGGACCTCTATGAGACAAAGCAGTTCAGTCCTTTTCAATATAATACTGGAAACAGTGATACCGCTAATGTAAACAAATGGGATTGTCTACTTAACAATGAACGCAGAATATGTTGACAATGTAAGCCTTAACGGCAAATCTGTCAGTGCAGAATTTCCAGCCCAAAAAAAGGGCAGAGATTAAGTTAGATTGCTGATCAAAGAACGCACGTGAGCTAATATGTGTAGTCCTTTGTGAGGACAAAGTTTCGCAGGCTACATTAAAAGATGCCTAATGTCTTGGGAACTACGTCACTGTTGGCAGCTATAAATTTGAAAAAGTTAGGGACTTTGTATATCTCGAAAGCAGCATATATCCCGTCCATAAAGTAAGCGTGGTAATCAAACGCAGAATAACACTTGCCAACAAGTGCTACCTGGGAACGGTAGCCAATTAAAGGCAGATTCCTCTATTCGTCGAACAAAAATCACGCTTTATAAGGCTCTTATTATTCCCGCTCTATTATGTGGCACAGAAACGATGGCGAGCCGAGCTGAAAAAGTATCAGTAAAAAGCATTCACTGTTCTTCGCAAGATCCATGGAGCATGAGCGATGAGTATCGAAGAAGGTGGAATGAACTCGTACGAGCTATATAGCAACATGGATATATGTAGTTAAGCACATACAAATCAAACGAACGTGCTGATTAGATCGTGTCGTCGGGACGGAAAATAATGTTCCATCGAAAAGATCCTTCTACGCGAAGCACAAGGGTGGACAACGTTAATACGGTCACCCCTCTAATGGAAGGCCGTGCCGTGACCACGCCTTTAGCAAAGTTGTTTGTTCTCATCCCAGACTGACCCTCATTTATAGGCCGGGTGAGGCAAATAGTTGAAAATTATTTCTCAAGTGACTCCCAAATATTTTACAAATTTTTCTTGTATTTTGCAACAATCTTCCTATCTTTTCACATTTTTTGGCCGCCTAGGACGTTCGTTAAGTAACTATCATGATTTAAAAGTGAAAATTTCGGTGTCCAATCCGGTATTACCATGCACGTATATAGTTATGGACCCAATATATGCAATGCATTTAATTTCTTAACTTTGCGAACCCGCTCATATTATATAAACTGCTTATAGTATTAAAACCAAGTTGATTAAATAGCAGCAATTAATAATTTACAAAATCATGCAGTAATTGAGTAAATAGCAAACAACGAGCTTACAGTGTACATTTTGTTACCTAGTTGCTTTACCATAATGAGTATAATCACCTGGTTTTGCACTTTTCTTATTACAACTATTTTCCTTCTCCATTCCTTTATTTTCTCACCATTTTCACCCTTCGCTTGTTTACTTTTAGGTGGCCTTAATACTCTCGCCATACTTGGTGGCATTATATTGGTTTTAATCGTTGTCATCATACTGGCTATGGCTGTTTGCTTTTCCAAGCGACGAGCACGTTACTATACACGTGAGGATCGACTGAACGGAGGTGAGTAGCGAAAGAAAGTGAAAGCGAAAGTGAACTGGTGATTATGCCAAACGGATTAGTGACAATAATTGTCGAGTGTTTTTGGTAGTCGAGTTTTATGTTACACATAAGAAGGCAGGTTACAACAAATTTCGTGACAAAAGCATTCTTTTTTACAAGATTAACCATTGAAGATTAAATCTTGAACCTTTTACCATGCCCTTTCTCTTTCCTGACCACAGATCGCCGGTAAATTATGACTCCTTTAATGTTTGTTATTTTAACTTTCGTTGCCGATAGTTTTCAATTTACCATGCGTCTTTTTTTTCCTTTTTCTTCATTTTCAAAGGTTTTTGCATTAGTCTGTATGCAATTGATTTTATATCCATTGCGACTTACCAGTACATAGCAAAGTAATCTATTTCGAAGTTACCTACTTAAAAAAAAAAATCAGTTACTTCAAATTTAATAGAGACTCATATTATTCTCCGAAACAACATTCTTTGACATTAATGTTTTTAAGATTATCTCTCTCAAATATTGGCAGAGACAATCAATTACAATTTTTCGACGACTCGTTCGAGCATTTCGACTGGTAACTGTCGAATGACACGCGTATTGTTTAACTCCAAGGCTTGAAACGAGGCGAGATCATTTTTAAAGAAATATACTACTATTTTTCTTAACTGTATGCCAGACGTGGTCATGCGGTCGAATATTATTCAATAATGAATGCTGGGTCTCATGATGGCTAGTATTGCGAATAGTACGTTTAGGAGGCCGATTATGTTCTTTATAGAACGTAAATTTTCCTAATTAATTTTTCATAATTTAATCCAAAACAAGACTGAACTCACGCTTGACCTGTCAAAAAATGCTATTGGAAAAAATAGATCTACTTGGATCACCCTTTTTACATATTTTATAGGGTCTTTACCGTTTCTAACTTCGTGGCTAACTTTATACACCTAGTTCATTCTATAAATACTTGTATAGCATTGTCTTACTATTATATTTCCTTAGTGTAAGACAAGCAAGTCTTATTATTATGGTATACTAAGAGCTATCGAGTGCTTCTTTGTGAATTGGTGAGTTTTAAGACTAAAGGGAGAATATGTGAAAATATTCAGAAATATTTTATACAAATTTGTACGAATGTATATACTCACGTTTATTGTTTAAATTTGTCGTTGAATAATCAAGAAGAGAAATGTGAAGTTAAAGTGAACGAATTACTGAGTTAACCTTGAATATTTCATACTCCACAACTGCTGCCGAGGCAAAAACCATAATTGTTAACATTCGGAGAAGCGTAGTGAAACATGATGAGTCTTCACTATTTGCACTTGGACAAAATATTTTACAACGGTAAGAAAACAAAGGCTTAGCAGGGATAATGGCTCTACCATTGTAAGCCAGCTGCTGGACCATTTTCCATGGCGCCCCTGCAACATGGCTAAGTGTTTTGTTTTGTACAAAAACCTTAAACTGAAAAAGAATAATTATGGGGGAAGCGAATTGCAAGCATAGAGATAATTTAAAGTACTTTGTCAATCCCGAATTATGTCGTTAATGAGCAGAGCTTTATAGGTTTACTAAGGTCTTCAGTAATCTCCATTTAATTCGATTAGCAAGCGGTTATGGCACATAATCTAAGAAAGGAATTAGAAACGATAGTGATTTCAATTAAATTGCTCGCATTGCCTTCAAATAAAACAGTTTTAAGTTAATTTCAATATGCGCTAAAAGTAATAAAGAAGTTACGAACACATAAAATGTGCGAAGGCGCAAAGCCTGATGTTAAGAAAGTGGTAACCCCAAGAGCAAGCAATAAACTAGATCCAATTAATTTAAATGTTGCTCGAAAAGAGGCAAGAAAAGCCAAAAGTGCAAATTAAGAAAATATACGTGGAAAACTCTGTTCTGTTCAAGTTAACTTGTTGCAAGAAAAAAAAAATTTTTGCATAAACCTCACAACGTTACTCCGAACCAAATAGGCGTTTAAGCAAACGACCTGGGGCCTGAGCAGTAACTCCCGGAGCAAAGGGTGCAAGAAATGGGGAAACGTGAAAACTTTGAAAGAAATATGAACGGGCAATGCCACCCCTTCCCAGCATATCCCTCTGCTACCTATTCCGCCGCTGACACAACCCTTTGGGCATATAACCACAGGCGCAAGGGATCACGCAGTATGCAAGCTTTCGTCATTTGCAAATAGCATGGCTTATTAACTTTCTCCGCTGCGTAGCCGGGGAGACGAGGACACGGTAAGACGGGTAAGCCCGCATTTAAGGCTGCAGACCGCGAAAAGTGTGAAGAAAAAATTTAAATTGCTAAAAAGATGCATTGAAGAGAAAGTGAAAATGCAGAACTAAAACATAAACGAAAATGAACTCGAGTGCCASTTGGGAGAACGGAAGTAAAAAGAAGAAAAAATTTGCACTTAATTAATGAGGGGCCACGGCGGCTTGCTGTGAGATCCCCTTCCAGCAGCGCACGAAGGTGAAGAATGAAAAATGGATGTTAAATGCAGCAGTAGCTGAATTAAAATCAACTCGGCTAAAAAGTGAGAGAGTCGGTAAATATTTGTATAAGATGGCGCAAATAATGAAGTGGCATSAAATTATGCAGCTATTAAATTAACAAATATTTATTTGATCTGCTGCTGCAGTTATAATAGCTGAGTGCGATTTAAGTTTAATTTAGAGCAGCGCGCTGTTGACGTTTCTCCCAACACCCATTTGGGAACCCCAAATTACCCTTAATAATTAAAAAACTATGYGAAACGATTTTTCTCTACTTTTTCCMAAGSAGCTGGAGACAAATTTTACTTACTKRTACCAGCTATTTGGTAATGGCTTGAACACCTTACAAATTTGAGAACAATTAGTAAAAGGAACACATAGTCTGCCTCCACCGATTCTGTCTTCCGTATCTATKGCTTTCCTTATTGTCTATTCGAAACACCAATTTAAGGTATATAAGAGATAGAAACTAGAATGGCTATTGAAGGCTGATTCAAGTAGAGATACGGAACTGAAGCGGCACCGCCTTTCTAAACGATATCGCTTCGCTGTAAGGGCTCTTAAAACGATCCAAGTTCGAACCAAATTTTGTTTAACGATAAGGCTCATTTCTGGTGCAATGGGTATGTAGACAAGCAAAATTGCCGCATTTGGCACGAAGACAAACCTGAAGAGCTKCAAAAGCTACCATCGGAATCTTCGGTCCATATTTCTTCAAAAATTATTTTGTGGAGCACGTATAAGTCAATGGCCACAGTTGATGCCCGAAATTAAAGCTCGTGATCTCGGCGGCATTTTGTTTTAACTAGACAGCACTACTTCGCACACATCGCATAAATCAATGGGTTAATTGAGAGAACACTTCGATAGATAATTATAATTTCACGTTTTGGGCCGGCCAATTGGCCACCATGAGTTATAAGTTCCAAAGAATGTTCTTTCGAATGATAAATAAACATTCCCCATTAAATTTGAAATTTCTGTGTTTTTCCTTTAAAAAACTAGGGAACCTCGAAACGGATCACCTTTATAAGGAGATATTTGAGTAAAAATGAACTATATACTCTGTGCGACATCTTATAGCTGACATACATACTGATCTATCAATTACATGTCCTTGTATGGACAACCCTTTTTTGTCGATATATCTTAACAGAATTCGATGAGTCTACAATAACAGTCTCCAAGTCATGTATGGAAAACTKTCTTATTTGTTAAGTACCTCTAAGAAATTTGTCACAGATTATTAACCAAAGCATCGCTTAATCTCCGAAGAAATTATTCAAWTCGGAACACGACAGCATATAGCTGTCATACAAACAGAAGAATCAAAATCATATTTTGGTATTGAATAGTTTATTTATGTTTGGGGTATTATAGTTTTGGTGACACTGAAGTTAATATGTTGTCTTATTTTTCAAAAGCACTGTGGAGACTATTATACGCCGTTTACCAAAGGTTGCACACATAAACTTTTCCATTCAAAAAAGATTACAAAGTCAAAGCATTTCAGACAATAGTCATAAATGAAAACCCACAAAAAATTTAAAAGCACATAAAGCAACAAAATACAGTAAGTAACTGTTTATTAATAAACAAAAAAGAAAAGCTTTCAAAAAGTGAAATTGCACCTCAACATTTTACTACGCGCCGCTTTTATACCTAAGCAAAGCCATCATTTAAGCACTCGTAATTGCCAAAATCCAATTTCTTCCGCTGCTCGAACTTCCAAAGCATCACGCCACTCAATGCAACAGTGTAGGAAAGTTGGCTTGTTGTTTCGCGTTTCCGCTTTGCCACGTTAACGATATCGTTTTCCTTTATGGCCTGCTGTGTTGCAGCGCAGAGAGTGCCGGAAAACAGCTATCGCCATTTTTCAAACTGTAAAAGCAATCCTGTGGCGCGCACTAACTTACTACCCGCTCATAAAAAGTAGAAATGAATAAAGGAGCAATAACAACTACAACAATAACAACAGTAAAACTCCAATGCGCCAATAATAATATTAACGGTAATGATAGTTGTAGAATCGCAGAAAACCAACCAAAGGTCGCATTTGTATGTGTGTATGTGTGTGTGTGTGTGGAGCCATTATCGACAGCAAAGTGGGAAACTGCGGCGGACACAGCGCCAACGGCAGAACGGAAGCAAACTTTTGAAAAACTTTGAACACACTTTCTTTTCATTTTGTTTCCTTTTTGTTGGGGGGTTCGATAGTTATGTTGGAATTGCTTCGTAGTGTAAAGCAGAATCAAAAAAAAAGCGCCAAACAAAAACATAAAATACGATCTGTGAAGAAATTAAAAGTAAACAAGCAAACGACAAAACAAACGTGATCTGTGCTGTGCTAGTCAGCTGGAAAGTGTTCTTCTGTTGGGATGTTTGTGGCAGTAAAGATTACAAACCAGGAAATGGCTTGTTGTTGCGCACATATGCACACGCACATTGATTGTGTACATGCAAATAAAATGGAAGTTTCGAAAATATTAGAATTTGTACAAATTTCACAGCATTATAAACTTCAGCTTTTGTTTCTCCATTTGAGTGTGGTGAAGTTTTAAACTCAACCAATCAAAGTGGTGCCATCACATTTTGAGTGTTACGCAATTCTTTAGAACTTTTAGATTTTTTGAACATATGTATATAATCTTGTTTCAAAACAATATCGAGCTGCATCATTTCCGTAAAAATGTCTCCAAGCCCTCAGTGATCCACCTTGACATTTCAGTATTTGGCATATGTTACGATCCAGCACACCAACCTGTTTATTAATTGTCCATGAGAGCCAATCTGATCCTATGCCATTAATTTTGGTTTTACCTGGCCATGTAAGTTTGTTCTAATCATCAATGGTGAATTGTTCATATTTTTTGTGATCTATAATCGAGCTTTATAGTGCCTCACTTAGAACGGTTTAACTGACACTAACTCCATGGTCCTCTCAAATGACTTTATTAGTTTTTTTTTTATTTATTGACTAATTCAAGAGGTAGTTTATATTTTTCTGCGATTTCTCGTGTTAAAAATGATTTTGAAACTCAATTTTGCACGAATTTTTACAGCGTAGCCGACCAGCGTATTCTCAGATCGTCTGGTAACTGGCGAATGACATGCTTGCTGCTTTACATAAAGGCCTAAATCAAAGCTGAATTGTTCGCATAGATTTTATATTGCATATGTACCCACCGGAAAAGTCTAACGGTGTGTTATCACACAAAGTTGGTAGCCAATTGTCTCGCCCAAAACGTGAAATTATCTGCTCACTGAAGTGTTCTCTCAATAAATTCATTGATTGATGCAATGTGTGGGAAGTGGTGCGGTCCTGTTGAAACCACATGTATAATGGTGCGATAACAGTAAAATTCTCACCCGCATCATTATTGACGAAATATGAACCGATGACTCCACCGGCTTCAGTTCTTGCAACAGCAGTATTTTGTAAGCTTTTAATTTATGATATCGACTTAAAACGACCAAATCGTCAGTCCGAGTTGCTGCGAACTCTCCACGGTCTTCGTGTACACTCTCACTATGTTTTCTTCACTACGTGCTGGACGTGCTCTATTCGGTCGAATATTATCCAATAATGAATGTTTGCTCTCAATATGAGTGATGGTGTTACGTATAGTACGCTCAGTAGGTCGATTATGTTGACCATAAGTTGAGCGAAGCGCGCGAAACACATTATTTACAGAACGTGAACTATTGTAATGAAGTTGAACGATTTGTAAACGTTCTTCAGACCTAAATATTTTTACGATGAAGTGCCGAACAATACTGACAGCTTTAGACGACTCACGCGTGATCAGTCAAAAACAGGTGAATGAAAAAAGTACCTCTACTTGGTACAAAATCATTTATTTCTCAAACAAATATGGGGAATGCAAGAATAGCGGCAAAACCTAAACCTTTTGAAGCAGTACCACCGCTCAAATAACTTTCTCAGTGATCCCTTAATTTTATTCTCTCAGTACTCGGTACTCTTAAAATTTGCTTAATTCTGTGAACTGCATATCAGTGAGTTTTAGGGAATTTTCGGTAAAATAAATCACTCGCGCTTCGTACAAAAACTTGATTCTTGACTTTCAGCGAAGGTTTCTTCAACGTTTATCTTCTTATTTCAATAATATAACACAACTAGTATTATTTATTTATTATGTCTTCACGTGCTAGTCCGATTCTGTTCTCATTATCTATTACCAATATATTTTTGTAATAGAGGATTCACACAAGAACTTGATTTTGATCGATCAGCGCGAAATCCATTCTTTACAAAACGTGAATTTTTATAATAAAAAATGTCAGCTTGATACGACATACGCATGATCTATCAAAAAAAAAAGGGCTGTTGAAGAAGGTGCCAAACTTGGATCACCCTTTGTATAGAATAACATAAACTCAACCGAAAGGGCTAAATTTGATATTTTTGGTAATCATTTTTATTGGAATATAGGGCCAAAAACTATACTAATACTCAAACATAACGAAGAGATGTTATATATTCACCCATATATTCGGCATTAAATCTGTTAGATAAGATTCGTGGTAATTTTTTAACCGAGTTTGCAGATTTTCGGTTTTAAACTAGTTTTCCTAAAAATATACGATGTAAAGCCGGGAGTTTAACATTTATATGTTCGGTATATGTTGGCTACTAATTACCTATTTTTATACAATTTTGGCATCAAACATATTAGAGACACTCACATCCCTTCTGTACTTTACTGTAAGGCTTCTTGCCACCGAAGTGTTTCCTCAACTATTTAAGGTACCATTAGAGGTTGTCAACGTAACCTTTGTAGCCGGAGGAGAGCCTGTTTACTATTTCAATTCACTTAGTTCTACAATGCTGGAGGAAAAGCTGTAAAAGCTGGTTGAAGAACCTTTAGTGGTTTGTGGGATTTAAAGAATAAACCTATTAGAATAGTAGGAGCACTTTTTGTAGACACACCGTATTCCAAAAGTTTAGTTTGGTGAGAGTTAAATTTGAATAGAATTTTTATTTTACAGAAGCCACATCTTAGTACGATTTTCTATGGCAAACTACAGTTTTGTACCATAACTTTTATTTAATACTACCATTAAATCTTTGCTACAAAGTTCCCACAAATGGCAGCCTCCACTCAAAATTAATAAAAGATATTAGTAAAACCCTAAAATAGGAAAACTTTTCCTAAGTTAATTACAAAATATGTTAATGTTATTTTCTTTCTTCGACCCACTTCTTAGGTGAGAGCGGCAAGTGTATCGAAAAGGGTATGGAAACTAGTAACGGAAATGGTATCAACGGGGACAGTCCCCCTGAACATGCTAAAACGCCTACCACGCCCACAAATGAAATCAACTTCAAATTTCCCATCGACGATCGCGTTTGCACCATCGATGAGCTGGTGTTGCCACCCGCACCACCGCCACCTAGCAAAGAGCCGCCATCACAGCTGCCACCACCACCACCAGCCACTGCAAATAGCGTTCTAAATAGTCTAACTTATAATAGTTGTACCGGCAATAATACAGCCACTGCCATGGCGGCAGTAGCTGCTGCGGCCACCGTTATACCGCCCGGTGCGCCATCGGCTGCGGGGGATCTACCATCTGAGGCAATCGTCGTTGTGTTGCCCACGCCGCCAACGCATTATAAAACCGAACAACAACTGCAACAACCCCAGCAACTGCAGCTGACCACAATCGAACCGCTGATCAGCGTGAACTGACCGACGGCTATTAATGTTGCAAGCGCCTCAGCCACCGTAGCAGCCACAAATAAAAATGTCAACACACCAGCGACGACGTTGGCGTTTTCGCCATTGACCGCGAAAACGGGGAGAACGATAGATAGAGGACGGCAGTTGGCGTTTTCAACCACGACGCACACGTAAGTGCTCGCAACCAATATGTACACAAGCTGCAAGTGCAGCAAAGCGAAGTTATATTTTTTATCATTCGAAAACATTTAACGATAACTATTTTTAAGAAGCCTATAAATAAGATTGTGTACAATGAAACAAATGCGCCGTAAGTAGAAAGGATTATAATTGAGAAGTTTGGAGTATTTCCATTACTGACTTAATCCATATTGTACTAGTAACGGATCTATAAATTAGTTAAAGAACGGATTTTTTCTTCCAAAAGTTTTTAATATTGTCGTATAAACTTCAGAATTTCCCTGTTTGGGGTCTTGGCAACTCATATCTAAGCTCCTCCTTCCACTCCGCCACTGCTTCGTACCACTGGAAAATATCAATTTTCAAATTTTTGATGAGTGTTTCGTTGAAACCTCCGAAATAAGCAAATAAGAACTTACATGAAATCATTTCTTATTATTTGCTGAACTGATTACTATAACATACCTCTTACTTCGGATTTTTAAGAGCTCAGATGTTTTAAGCAAAACTAACTCCGTCTTCCCTCGTTTTCTGTAAGTTCATATCGGGTATATTTTTAGGCTTGTATATTCTAGCTCTCTTATCATACATTCATAATTCACTACCGACCAACTTCATAGTACACCATCCTATCGTTCGATGACTCTCCTCTCCCCATTAGTAAATATACTTGAGGCCTTACTACTCCCGATCTTCACACACCACCTGAGCGTAGCCAGTCACCAGCATGGATTCCGAACAGCACCACCACTGCACTTAGCGTCATAAACGCTCAGATAGTTCGTATCCTTAACTATAAACTACCCAGCGACATAACGATCGGCGTACCGTTTTACTTGTCAAAAGTCTTTGACACAGTCAATCACACAACGCCACCTGAGGGCATCGAATAAACAACGCTTCCTCCAGAACTGATGGGGAGGACCATGAGTTCGAGGAATTCGAGTTGCTGCGAGCTTTATTCGGGATACTATAGGTGGTTAAACTCGTACTTATCCGGAGTAGACGCAGACGGTTATTAACAACAATAAAACATTTAGTATTTTATAAGCATCTGCTCTCTAATACATTCCAGTAAAAAAAAGAAAACCCCAATAACCCGTTTTTCTTTTTTTTTTTTTTAAACTATTATTTCCACCGAAATTGTGGTTGGTCCGAGGATTGCTAAGGAATCATTGCTCCTCCAAAAAATTCACAATAAGAAATACAGCAGTCAATTCCTTTGAATCACAGTATGATATGCCTCGCCATCTTATCGAAATTAGCAATCCTCAAAGTATTTGCCTGCTTGCAAGCCGTAATAATAAGAAATCATCCACGATTCTATTTCTATTGAATGTCTCATGTATTAAAAAAAAAAAAAAAAACAAAGCATGGCACGAAGAGTTGATGAGAGAGAATTTGGTCCAAGTAGTTATCTTCAGTTTTCAAAGGATTCAAAATAAGGTAGATTTATTCTCAATATGCTAACAAACAACAAGGTCTAAAATCGACTTAAAAACTAGTTAGTTTTCTCTGCACTGGCACCCAACTTTCTAATCAAACAACTTTCTTATTCCGTTTTTAGTTTCTAATATTAAAGAGCTTATCTAGTAACCACAGAGCTCATTCTTTCAGTCCAAGTGAGTACCAACCTACATATACTGACTGTATCTTCCATCAGATTCCACCATTGAACCCAACGTATGCTTAGTATGCACTCGCTACTGATGTATGACATACAGATGACACCACTACATATGCATGCAACGTCTCCGCTTTTGAATGTAATTGAGCCATTTCCACCGATTTAATTGCGGATATTGCGCGATTACAAGATATCATTCAATTCCGAATGTGCGACGATACGAATACGCACAAATGAAGATACCCCTTGACACCGGAAAAAGGGCACTTTACAATGCTACATGCGTATACAGATAGGTAGAAGAATGATTCCTCAGCAGAGCGCGCACATACTCAGCAATTTAGTCAAAACTCGATAGCGCTTACTGCGATATGGTTTTCTTTCCGGTGAATTTTAATGACTTAATGCAGAAAATGCATACCCAACAACAACTGTCGGTGCACTACAACGGCGGTTTTCGCAAAATTCAAAAATAAAAAAGCGTTTCAAGCTATTTTTGCTTCATTTCACTCAACTGCATTTCTTCTTCGGCCTTCTTTGCATATATGCATTTTCAATTTCCGGCGCAATTAAATATCACGAAATCGCTAATCAAAAATTCCATTGCTAATTTTAAAATACGAAATAATTTTCAATTCAATAATTTCGATAATTGAACTGTACAGACAATATTTCGTTTTCTCATAAATGTATACTTCGATATTTACATATTTCTGTTGCGCCTAACTGTATGCTCCAATTACAATCGTTTCTGCTAAGAAGCGCGTGAGGCAACCATCTTCTGTTTACGAAAACATTACGGGGAATATGTGTGTATAGCGAAAAAATGCGAAAACCTAATGAAGCATAAAATTAGGCGCGGAAGCGTGCCGCAAACGTTTCATTTACTTGATAAGAGAGATTAAGATTAAATATTTAGTATGTAATACATGCATTTGCTAAGTTTAAGCGATAATGTGTAAGCTCTACTAATTATAGCCTGTAAGTAGCGGCGACACATTCAAAATGTGATACTAACAGAGAAACAACAATTGTGTTTAGCAAATTATAGCAAATAATGTAATGAATTTGCAAAACTAACGAATCGAATACTGATGTATAGGGCTAACAACGTAAGTATATAACTAATGTAAATTATATATATGTGTATATAGTGTGTAGAATTCACTCAATGACATTCATATGTATGTAACACGTATACCATATAAGCACATTAGGGGTGTTCATATAAATTCAAATGTTTTTTTCTTTTTTTTTTTTTAATATATGTGCCTCTATATTCATTGAAAATGCAAGGAGACTATTTTTATTTAATACTTCATCCAAAAATTAACTTGTTTTTAATACAGGAGTTGTTAGGCAGACCTATATCTCACAGAGAGTTAATGCCAAAGCGTTGAAAGCGTTAATTTTGCCACGAAATGTGTCAAGATATATTTGTGGCAAATAAGTTGGCAACTCAGCTGAGCAAAAGTCTAGTTTGCTTTATGAGCAATATTTTCCGCTGCGGCCCCCATTTGGATCATAAAAGTTAAACGTCACTTCCCATACACGATTTTGCATGGCAAACACTGAAATTCGTGGTATGTCGAAATCGGCAAAGGCCAGCAAATCAAATTTGCAGCAGTAAACCACGAATACTTTCTCCGGAACTGTCAGTTAAAAAATCTTAGTAAAACTAATTATATTTCAATTTTAAAAGTATTATCATAAGTGTTGGTTAGTTAGGCTTAAAGCGTTTTAATATTTTAAGCACAAAGCGAAAAGAGTCTTTACAAACGACAAAAGACACAGTAAGTCTAATTATAAGATTTCACAAATTACAATTTATAAAAGTTTTTGTTTAAGTTTTCTTTAAATTTAACTTTGTTTTTACTCAGACATATTTTAAAAATAATATATTACAGTAATTAGTAATGTAACTGCATATACTATAATTGAACATCAGTATCCATAACCAGTTTTACATTTGAACACATATTATCACCAGGAATTTAGTTAATATTTCACACAACAAATGCTCAAAACTTGTTTGTACTCAAACAGCGTGGCTCCATGCATTAAGCCTATTTTATCATATAATATGTTAATGAATAAGTTTATTAAAAATGTTAAAATAAGTCTTAAGTATAATATTAATTAACTATTTTTTATAAACTACGTTCGGTTTCAGATATTAATTACGGTATTCACATTTATTAATTTCACATGTAAGACAGTTAAAATTTTACCAACAATAAAAATCGATACTCCATTGATACTTATTTGGTTTTATTCATAAGAGAAAAACATATCGATATGCAAAGGTTAACAAACTGTGAAGAAATACTGAACTACCATGTTTTTTTTTTCCCCTTTTTTTTTTTGTTAATTTGTCTCACATTTGTAAAAGATCTAATTTAAACAAGTGAAGAAGGGCTTAGTTCGGGTGTAACCGAACATTTTTTCCTCTTCCAGTATGCACGGATCAAAGCCGGCTAAATACCTTTAGGTATTCGCCAAATTAAAAAAATGAAGCGAAAGGGTCCAGCTCCATTGTTCAACGAAATCGCGATTGGATTGTAATCAAATGTGGTATCATGTTAACTTATTTCTAAAGTCATAGAGACCATTAGTATATTTTCTATATCTTAATCGCGACAGCGAAAATTATTCTAAAATCATCCTCAAATCAGAGATATGTATTATAAGCTCAACCGAAGAGGCTAATTTTAATGTACTGAAAGGACGAGAAAAACGTCCACGAATGAATTATATTAGATATGAGACTTACACAAACTCCAATAAATTTCTATTGAGCACTAAAACAATAATATTAAATCAAGGAAATATTTTCCCCAAATCACTATCTCACAGATTAACCAAAAGGTTTGGCAAAAAGTCAGCAATATGCACTGAAATGCACATATTCGATACATGGAGGCTTCGAACGTTTTGACCGAATTTCGAAACTTTAAACATCTAGATACTATTTGAGCTAGGATTTATTTGTATTATTGAATAGTTTTTGTTTTATTACTGGAAAGTGGAAGAATAAGTTGGAATTTAAAATTGTGCTATATGGGAAGAAGGCGTGGGTTTTGTCTGATTTACCACTTTTTTCCCACTACGCCATAGGTGTGCAAAAATAAGGATATGCACTAAATTTGGATGATGTTGGATCAATTTGGTCTTGAGATATGGATTTTTAGCTAAATGTGCTGCTATAATCCGGTTCTTACTATTTGCACAGACGCGAACGGACAGACAATCAGTATACAACAACTATTAGGTGAAGAAATCATACTCTGTAGTAACTTCTATTGCAATCTCTACCACAGAGCTATACATTGGCTGGTGGATTGGTTAAAAAGGGAGACGCAAGAGAGCCAGACAGCTGTCGGCCGCGTATATGACATCATTAGGTTCATTATGCTCTCGCGTGGCAACCAAATTAAGCATCATCCATCAACTCAGTGGATTTAATAAAAATAAACTCATTTTTTCACCCCAACTGAATATTTCTTATTTTAGATCATTGGGAACCGTTAAAGATAACCAGTCTAAGCCGGCTGAAGGCGTGGCATTTCCAAAGCTAATGATCTACCATCTCAATATCCTCTGCGCATGTACTGCATTCACTTCTTCAATTTTCTGAAGGTGCGATCTTAAGGGTACCTGCCCTTACAATGCTACTAAGTTCTCGTTTGCCTAGAAATATAAAATTTTTTATTATATGTTGCTAGTGTTCTAAAACCAGAGTACTTTTGAGGTCAATTGCTTGAAACAAACTTTGAAGAAGCTATGTTTCTGGCTGCCCCTGAGTGGGATAACTGGTCTGACTTTTCATTTGAAACAAACTTACATTTACAAACATCATGTGTTACACCTGAACTTATCAATTTCTTACTTGTTTTATATATCGTTCTGATATTGTATACATGACCTTCCCTCTCCAATCTTATTTGTCATATAAGGCAAAAAACTGCTTTAGAAAGTATTATGCAATACACCAGTGAAGAGAATAACAGCTTCGAAGCTGTCTTTCCAGGTTTTGTGCGTAAGATGCTTATGCCACGGTTACTGCTCAGCCAGTACACTTCAACAGCTGTGTTTAGAGTGTGTTCCACATGCTATTTTAAAACGTTTGGCGAACCGAAAGAGATTCTACTCAATAGCCGTAGTTTCTGTTACAATTTTCATCACTATTTCACTGCAATAATATTTTTTTTTATTTTAAACTTAATAATTTTCGTGGAAGTCTAAGACTCTAGATACTAATATATGAACAATTTTTAATAAGCGAATTTTTATAGAACACAGTATTTAAGATTGACCGGAAATTATAATTTCTTCCAGACAACTATTGTTAAATTCTTTACAACAATAATAATTAGAAGTTCGGATGTGATCATACTTCTGAAAAGATCTTTTAGACGGTTAATATTTACCACATGTGCACGAATTAATAAGACACTTATTGTTAAGAGGTCAATTAAAATTATCCTATATAGAAAACGAAAGTACTGACGACTAACCAAACTATTGTAACAGTTGCTGAGCTGCTAGATGACAATACTATACGTGCTTAGATTGAAGTGGTGAGAAGTATTTTCCTCCCCTCAATATACCTGTACATAGTGTAAAATAGGACGCGGAATTGTTCGATTATACTGGGTAACCAAGACAATACGACTCAATCAACATACTTTAGCCGATATGTCGCATCGCTTGCAATAACACACAGTGGTACAAAGTCTCTACGTTCTTTCATAAAAAATCATGGAACTTTTATTTTTCGAAGGGAACAACTTGATCATTGTCACGCAGATATACCTTGTATCCATGTTGATGTAAATGCTTCACTTTCTCGTTGCAACTTAAAAGAAAAATAGTTTGTAAGCTCTGAGCTAAATTTTCAAACTTCATTGACTGTCACAGCATACTGTGGCACACACGCTTGCGTCCGCTCTTGCCTGACTATCGTCAACAGCGAATTTCTACATTTTTGTTTGCTTCCGCCGCGTAGCGCAACTTCGGTAATCATGCTGGGCATTGCATGCATTGGCAGCAACAATAACAACTTGAATAGTATATCTTGCAATACGAAGCAGACACCACGGCCGCACAACTGGCGACTGGCAACACTGCTTTGTTGCCGCTTTCATCATAGCGAGCATATTGCCAACAATGTTTGCGGTTGGCAACGGCTGAGAAGAAGGGATGTGGCAAGGCGACAGCGTGGCGCGCAGTTGGGAAGCGACATTCACGCTACATTCACTTAGCCAAAGTGGCGTTACCACCATCCGCGTCTCTTGCATCTAACACCGGCCCACACAACTGCAATTGCGCAGCCACGCTTCGGAAACGGAAGTAATTTCCGTCGAACTAATGTAAGCGACCATTGTTGAAGTGTCGTCGCAACGAAGTAGAAACGTGGCATGTCGAAGATTACGTATTCAGAAAGTGGCGTTTGCAGCGAAGACAAATGCGCCATGAGTGAGTGACGGAACGGCGGGCAGTTAGCTGCAGTCCGCGCGCTCTTTCGGACACTTTCAGACAATGCGCACAAAATTATCCTTCATTTACCGACGCCTTGGCCAACTTGCTAGCACTCGTCCTTTGGTGTGACGGAGTGTACGTGGACATTTGCTGCGTCACAGTGTGTGCTCAGCCGCAGCAGCGTTGTCTACCGACGCGAACGCCGCCTTAGACGCGTCGCTGGTTGTTAGAGTTTTTGTTGCCGGTGGCTGCATCATTTTGCTCTTGCACAGTTCTAGTTAAAGTTGCGAATCTGTGGTCAGTTTGCTCATTTAAATAACCATTTCTTCGTTCTATTTGAGGACTTGATTGCTGGAATGTTGTCCGACGAGCATATTTTTATTATAAAGAGCATAAGTGAACTATTAAAACTTATTATTTAGTATTTTTTTCATAAAACTATTTCTTATTCTAGTTTGACATCGTTAGGACGATGAGCGAAGTTTGGCACATGTGGTTTGATGACTGCAAATTTCGTACAGGCTATATAAGCACGAAGACTACAAATGCAGGGAACATTCAAAGGGAATTTTTTCGGTATTGAATAGATAGATAGATAAATACGAAAGCTCACGATAATTGACTGTTTCTTATTATTGACAAATCGTAATCGCTGAATTTGAGCTCTGTTTTAAAACTTTCACTTCAACAACGACACGAATTACGTGAAGTTGCTATGGAAAAGCAACTAGTGAGAGGTGCGGATGGGACGTCTGTTGTAAGTACTACTGTAGTGTTTTTAGGCAGAAGTGACTGCTGTGGATGTAAACTTATTGCTCCGCAGCTACTTTCAGATAGGTGAGCATTCACTTCAATAGTAGAGCAGCAATACTGAGGTTAAGAACGTAAACCCTGTGTTCAAAGTAGCTCATAGTGTTTACATATAATCACTAGATATAGCATCAAGTTACTTGAATATCAGACTAGTTCGGAGAGCTGGACATAGCCGAGTCTGAAAAGTCCATAACGGATGAACAACAAGGGAAGGCATCCTTCCCACATTCACAACGCAATGGAAAGACTAGAATTTATTTTATTATCTTGCATTCTGGTACCGGACCTATGGACCTAACGTGTGCTTAAACTAAGGACTGTACCGAAAATAAACCGCACACTTTCAAGTCAATATTTCTCATGAAGTTTGATGACATTGCAGTAAGTACCGCTAGAAAGCGTGATCGCTTCTGCTTCTATTGTTTTTTCTTTCTCCGTAATTTGTAATACAATTTTCGCGTTGGCTCGAATCACAGAGCACGTGCGTAGGCAAATTGTGCACAATTACTGCAATGAAAAAAGGACTTCATACAGAAAGCTGGCAAAATCGTTTAAAGTCAGTGTAAGTGGTGTAAAAATTATTATAATAAAATTCGATGAAACCTGTTCTCTTAATGATGTATAAAAAAGTGGGCGAAAAAACGTCCATAGTGATCCAAATCTTTAAGCAAAGGTGTTGGCCTTAATAAACCAAAACAAATCAATGTCTGTTCGCGATTTGGCGAAAAAGCTAAAGTCAGTGCTATAATGATCTAAATAGTGAAACAAAGAAATAACTTAAAAACTTATAAAAAACAAAATATTCCCATAAAAAGTCAACGACAAATAAAAAAAGGGAAAACAAGGCTGCGGAAGTTGTACGGACGTTTGCTGAAATAAAATGTTGAGTGTGTTATAATGGACGAT